AGCTCGTGGCGCAAAACAGCCTGCCAGCGTTACTATGACCCCCCACCGCGACGCGCGGGACTGTGCGGCATCTAACTACATACTGCGTGCACAACACAGAGAACCTCGCTGCTGTGGACCCTCCGACTGGCATCACAAAATAGGCCACAGAGTTTTCTGTGTCAACACGTCATGGCCATGACGTATGTTTACTTTATTTTATGTGAGAAGATGAAGAGTAGTCGTCGTTTATACCCAAGCCGCTTGCCGAGTCAGATGTGTCATTGTGTTTTCATAATTTTTCGTTATAATTTGCGCGTTTTATTCTTTTTTGGAAGAATTTGGCATCATGAGCGTTGGAGAGAGTCGCATGATGCTTCCATTTTTGTTTCCGTTTGGATACTGACGCTTGCTTTCGGTGCTATTTGAGCTTTTTTGGAGTATTGCTTTATTTGCATTACGAACGTCGCTCAAGAGAAGGGACGATCTAAAACCATCACATAGTGAGATGTTTCATCTCCAACACTTAAGGGGAGCGACGAAAATGAACTTCGCCTTCAGTGACGTGAAATAACAGTTTTAAAGTGTAAAATTTTAGGTGCGTCGTCGATCTTTACAATAATGTTTGGAAGCTTTTCTTTTTTACTCTCCAGTAGTGTTGTTGCAAGAGGGAAGCAATCAGAGGCCAAGGCAAGGGACTATTCGGAGCGATTCGAAGCCGCTGTATTACAGGGGACGATCGGGTGACTGCGGTGCCGAGAGAGCCTGGCCCCCGCCGGGCGTCTTGTTCCGAGTACGACCGCAGAGAGAGAGAGAGAGAGAGAGGGCGGGGGGGCGGAGACGGAGGGAGAGGAGAGGTGGGCAGGGCCGGGCAGGGCGGGTGTAGCAGAACCCCTTGCTCCCTGCAGCAATGACTGGAGGTAACGATCTACAAAGTTAGTCGACCGTCGCAATCAAAACGGAATAAAGTGGATTAATTAGAGGTCCAAGCCCGTGGACCGGCTTCATTGAATCGCCCTCTTGGAGGCGAGGGAGGGGGGGGGGGCAGGGGTGGAGCCAGAAGGGGCAGAA